AAAAAAAAATAAAAAACGCGCTTTGTATGGTTTGAATGTTTTCAATGCGTGTCGTTTTAGTTCAAACATTTGTTCTGTCAAATATATAGCCTTTTATCCAGAAACTATATCCAGTTTATATTTACTTAAAAAAAGTTTAAAGATATCTGTTACTCTCTTTATTTTTTTTTTTAATTCCACACCTAAACGGTTACAGTAAACTGAAGTAGTTTCAAAGGAAAAAAAAAAAACTAAATAGTGTTCAATTATAAATGAAAATCAATGTTCGACCAATTGTTATTGGTTTACGATTATCCTCGCATACCTAGCGATTCCTGAACAATTCTAACAAAGACAGAAATTATTTCTGTAACGAGAATACTTAATTAATATTTCTATAGCGCTAATTGAAATCGTCCATACGAGACTATTGTATAGTGTTAGGAAATCTTGTAACGACACTAAAGAAAAAGGTCCATTTTTAGCCCTTTCCTAATTAATGATAAAAAGGAAACTACGACGATAATTGTACTACGTTTAACAATAGACTGGATGATCTATCTTATGATCGGTCAATAAATACGAATAATAACAAAATTTCAATTACAAAATTTTCAACCATTATATCCAAGATGAATATACAGTTATACAATGAAAGGATGATTGATCGGTCGATAGATAAGAGTAATCTCAGTCTTCTTCTATTCTTCGTGCCATTGAAGAGCGTGGTAACTTCCGCGTTTTAGTCTTTGTTCAGCTCTGCAGTGTCGTGACATAGCAAAGTGCTATCCCTCCAAGATAATAACAACAACAACAACAACAACAATAATAATAATATTAATAATACTATTACATTTAATAATAACAACAATGATAATATAATACTACTTTAAATATATGATGATTATATTTTTAAACTCTAAGTGTCGTCTTTAAAGAAGAAAAAAATGAAACTCGTGTACCGCAGTTGAACGAGGATGTGGTACTGCTGTACATATACAATACACAGAACTGTTAGAAATAAAGAGAAGAATGTTAGTGATTATTTGAAAGAAAAAAAAAGAAAAGAAACAGAGATTAATGATACCTTTCTTGTAACTGAAAAGAAAAAGAAAAAATGCAACAAAAGTCGTGTTTAAGGCTCGGCGATGAAAGCACCATGCCATCTTAGGATTATAAGTGTTCGTACGTTCGCTGTCTACATATGATTATTGCGTTTTACCGATGTAGATTTCAAGTGCTGAGGAATACTTAACGCGTTAACTAGTTCTCCGTTCGACGATGCATTGTAATTCTCACCGATGATCGTGTACACGAAATTTCTTATTCTTCCTATGCACTTGTCATCGATTGTCTGATTATTTCCAAGCGTTGTTCCGTCCATCGCGTTTGTCAAAACCGTTGAAATTGTATTAAGAACATCAACTGCCTTCGAAACGCAATTCTAAACGAAACGAGCATTTCTGTAAGCGTCATTCAAACGTAGAGAAACGTATTAGCTCACAAGTGTCTCTTATTTCTAACAGTGACTTCCATAGGGATTCGTTTATTTGATTATCATTTAGAAATTTGTAAAATATGCGAACGAATATCACAATTATGTCGATGACTTTGTAGTATACAAAACTCTTGCAAAGATGTTTATAATTTACAATCGCATCGCTACTGAAATAGATCAACGCTAGTCTGTCGACGAAAGAGCATCGAGCGATGAAATTAATTAACAAATGTGCAATTATAGAAATGAAAAAGAAACGCTATTGTCAATGTTTAAAGTACATAGTCGACTGTCGATTCGCTGAGAGAAACTCATCCTATTCTCTTCCGTTATTAAAGAAAAGAAAATGTACATAGCCGACTACAGGCACCAGGGTGCTTCCATTAGTAGCTGACGAACTTTTTTTGTTGATCATTCGTGGCGAACCGATTTCTAATCCGATAACTGTTCGTTCTTAATGCGCGAAATCTGTACACGAATGATACGAATCAGTCGGGAGACGTAGTAAAACAATATTATCAGTTGAAGACAGCTTTTATTACAGTATAGCTCCATATACGGTGTAGTGATTTAAGTAAGAACGTCGAGCGATTGTGGACAATGGAAGAAATCGATGGTCATTAAATCTTAATTAGATTGTAAAAGTAATAAAAGAAATACCACGATCGCTCGTATTAATTAGATCGCTGTTTTAACAAGTACCAGCAATAAATGCGCATTTTCCATTTCAGATAGAATTAATAAGCATCATCTGCTCGTATCGCGAATCACCTGGTACGGGACTATACTGTACACTCTTGATTAAGTATAATTATAAAGTAACGATAGATTAAGGAGGTAGGTTGTAAGGCTGAACCACGTATACGTATGTGCTGCGGCACCAGACGACTGTGATAACTCGGTGGGCGGTGCCCAGCCTCCTACTTCATACTTGTATACTACTGAAGATTATGAAATACTTAAAAATTCACACATCTGTACACAGTGACATAAACAGAACAAGACATAACACGTTTAGAAACATTTACTAAAATCGTTGAATATGTTGGAGCTTGCATTATAAAAGAACTTGGTCCACAGATTTACATGGAACACTCTTGCTGCATTGTATAAACGTTTATTTGATCAATGGTTTATATATGTAATTAATTGATCATGTTAGAAGTACATATATATTTACTAATTGAATAGCCAATTTCATTATAAGATGTGTACATTGAATTTAATGAATCAGAAAGAAATTCTGTTCTGTTGATAATGAGAATGTTAATTTAAAAGAGGTATTATTTATATTTTAACGAGTAATATCAAGAGTAGATTGCTGCAGTATATGAATATTTTCATTCTTCCAGGTGCACACGAATTCATGTATAAGGATGGACCTGCAAATAAACCTCTAATGTTACTATGTCTTAGCGGTTGATGTGCAAGCTCTCTCTAAAGTATTTAAGAAGATAGGAATGGGCCAAAAAAGAAGATTGTAATAACAAATGATTTTCGTGCAAGATTTTAGTTAATGTCTTAATTTGCTTTAATTTGTTGAACTGTGTTTTGTTTAAATATGATTATATATTTCATAACTTAAGAGAGTATTCAATGACAAGTTATAAGAACCTACAGATACTTAATGTATCCTTAAAATGTACTTTATGCAGGGTTTAAGAAAGTTTATTATTTTGTCAGTGTCTTAAGAAGAAAAAAATTATATAACATTGTTATATTATGGTTTAATTTTACGTATGTAAAGCGGATTGTTTAAATTTTAAGTTTCCTCCATTTTTAACTTTATCATCTTATAGGTTTAGATCGTATGTTTTTATATTCCGTTAAATTTTGTTGCTTCGAACTATTAGAAATGTTTATAAAAGTCATATAGATATTTTAAATAAATGATTTCAAATTTATTCTTTATTAAACTACAAATGTCTGCAACGTGCGTTAATAAAGTATAGACACGTACCATTATGAAAAGAAGGACTTTGAAAAGGTCCATTCCTAACTTAATTGAGATTTTAAGTCGTAAATTAGACGTATTACATAAATACTTACATACATACATACTAAAAAGGAAACATAAGTAAACAATTTGAATACTTCTTTCTCGTGTACATCAAGGTCCTGTTAAATAAGTTGTTTATTGATAATAAACGCCATCACGCTTGCAATTTGTGTCCCTTTTTATTTCTATGAATTACTTTTAAATCCTAAGATACACACTGCGAATAATTACACGATTAATTTCAAGATAGATCTAAAACATTCATTAAAAAATAAAATATACGTTTGAGCATTAATAAAGGAAGTAATAATTTCATCCTTCAAAGCGTATAAATATTTACACTTATTATAAATAAGCATATATCATATATAAATAAGAATTATAATTCTTATGTTCGGACACACATATGTGTCAATCGTTCGCGAAGGGTGCAAATAATACATTCCCCCCTCAAAAATAATTTTTTTTTAATACCGCCATATAGCGGGAAAGTTGTTTATATTACGAATTTAATTTGCGCTAAATTAAATTTCACGGCCAAATAAAAGTTTGATCAGCGCCATCTAGCGGTTGGTGTTTTGGACTGCTCTTTAGTAATAGGATAACAGGAAAGCGAGGAAGTATGCGAAGTAAAGGAGGTATCCCCACTCCTATGACGTCACAGCTCCTGATACCAGGCTAGCATAATGCGAAGAAGTGGCACGGAACTGGCCGAAAGCAAAATGGCGTCGTGTATACCAAGCAATTTTTAAAAATTAATTACTCGCTTTTTACGCATCGTTTGTGCACTTTCATGATCGCTTACTGAAACAAATAATTTTAAAAACCTTCAGGTACCGAATTTATAGAAATTTTGTTCGTAGTTAATTAATTATTAACAAATATAGAGATTACGACAGAAATATGAGAAAAGTACCTACAAAATCATCGTTGAAGGTTTCTGAGGTGCCCTGCTTTAATAAATGACAATAAAAGTGCATAAATTATTCGTAGAAAATGAGTAATTAATTATTCTTCATTGTCGGTCTCGGGACGCCATTATCTCGGCTGTGACGTCACGTGGGCGGGAACTACCTCTTCTCCGGATACTTTCTCGCTTTCCTGCTATCCTATTACTAAAGAGCAGTCCGAAACACCAACCGCTAGATGGCGCTGATCAAACTTTTATTCTCCCGCGAAATTTAATTGAGCGCAAATTTATAAACAGCTTTTAATTCCCAACAATAATTTAATTCATAACAAATGTTAATTACAGGTGACTAAATAAAAAAAATGCTAGATGATAATTAGAAATCAAGGGATTTATTGAACGGTATTTTATTTTTTTTAAGAACATATTTACACAATTTTTTATAAAATATGCTCAAATTTTATATATCTGTATATACCCTATCAGATAGAAGTTATTTACAATGATGTATGTATGTATGAACTTCTATATCATATGATTTTTACTTTTTCAATAAAAAAAACCTATTATTAAAGAATAATGAAATAAGAGCATGTAATAAAGTTGCTCGCATATGAAATAATAGAAGTATAATTTTAAATAAATTGTTTCTTAAATTTACTCCTCTTTTTTTAGCTTACTAATATTACATTGTTAGCGCACTTAAGTATGTTGTAGAATTAACTACCTATCTATTTTGGATATTGTGAGAAATTAAATATCCTGCGCTAATTGGTTTCTTCATTTACGGTGTAAGATAATTATAATAAATAAACGAAGAATGAATATATCTCAATAGATACACTGCAAATTAATAACGGTTTTACTTAATTACGAATGAATACACATGCATGACAGTCGTAACACAAATGTTCATGCATAAATGAACGATGCGGAATTAAATAATTGTTGAAAGTACTATACGTATACTAATTGTATCGTCTGTAAACGGTATTCGTAATTTACAGTACGCATATAAATAAAATGTGCACGCTTATCGTTACGTACAAATGAATTTTAACAAAATCAAGAACTCAGTACACATTTCTTAATGTTAGTATACCCTGCTTATCATCGCGATACAGGCGTAATACTCTGTAAGTATCGACTTCTCGTGGAATTTAATAAAAAATTCCACTTATTCGCTGAATACACGTAACATTTATAAAAATGTATATACCCAAATACATACAATTATATTAGAAAAAGGGACGTAACGTGACAAATGAAACGAACGTACAAGATGCTCAAAAAGTAGTAATAATCGTAGCTTCCAAAAGTAGATTATTTATTTTTTGAATACTTTATACGATCGTTCCCATTGCGTATGCTAACATAGTGCAAAAACTTCATTAAATAGTTGTCGTAATTTCGCACTGACACTGTAATAAAAAATCGATGGCGTTGGAATACGCTTTAGTGTTGAGATATATAAAAAATTGTCCGAGGGCGTACCACACATATATTCAAAGGCTAGTTACGGGAACATCTTCGTATTCTCGATGGTCCAACCTGGTCATTGATATGTGGTCCGCAGCGTATCCCTAGCAGCTTGTCGTTCTCCTAAAATATAATTATATGAGAGTTTAAAACAATGTCGAATTAATATTTATCTCTTGATTTCAAGTTGATTGATTTACCGTGAATTAAACAATATATCAGCCCGGGAATTAATGAACCATACAATTAAAAACGACACAACAGCCACTGAACTACCTAAAATCATCGTTAATCGCTCTGTAGCTGCTGAAGGTTTAAGGAACATCCTTACGCTTAATGTTTGCCATATAGATTCCGTCCATGTAGAATAAAGACCAGATTTCATGTCGTATCCTGTTAAAAATATAAAAAATAATAATTCCACTCTTTAAGATGATTCTCTTTAAATTTATATAAACACGCACCATCGATAATAAATGCCGGGCTCATAGCCGCGCTATAATTCACATTTGAACTAATACATATGCCAGTTAAATTATCGCCAGCCATCCAAATCTGATGATTTTTATAACATGTAGTTTCATTCATATGCGGTAATTCCTTTCTAGTCAGATAAGCAAGAAGTTGACCAGTTAACGTAGTGGCAGTATTGGCTACCCTATGTACACCGACGTATAAAGGTAGAACTTGATTAATTAATTTGGCGCCCGGTGATGAAGCGGCGTGAAACAAATAGCAGTTGGCACTTTCCAAGTAACATGTTAACATTTCAAAAATCTGAGACTCGACGGACTGAAAGGTTTCATCAATGACTGGAGGTTGATTACCAGTTATATTTTCATAAAGAATTTCAGCAACATGAATTGCAATCTTTGCTAAAGCAGTTGAAAGTCCATTGTCGCTTCTGAAAAGAATATCTCATATAACAGATACATAAAATAAGAGTAACTTTATAGATAACTTATAGAATTAGAATTGTACTTGTTAAAGGAAAGACTTTCTGCATCGTCTAAAATTCCATTGTAATATCTATTTCCGAAATATTCTCCATGATCGCTAATAACAACAGCAGGTAAATCATGTTTCACATCTAAGAAACTTTGTACCGACGTAGGCGGTACACTGTCTTCCAAAACGGTCGCGTTCAATGCATTCTTCATTTTATACATTATATCGTTGTTCCTTCCGTTAGTAGAATGAAGATACAATTTCCCTTTATTTAACTGACCAAATTCGATCACACTCTTAATGTCATCCAACTTTAAATTTACTCCACCTAATGCATTGAAATTACCTTCTTTCAGGTCATAAACTAATCGACTGGATCCTATATAATCAAAAGCTTCGCCATTTAATAGAGAAAAAACAACGTTTGTTTCTGAAAAAAAAAGAACAGAAATGATAATACGTACTTATCTTATGTTTCATAAAATCTACCATTATACTTACTGTTCACCACAACATCTTTAGCTAATATATTCAAGTAATAAGCAGTGGCAATTAACGTTACTAATCCTGTTACGACGTTACCCGCTCCAGGTGATAGTCCATCAAACAGGGAAGAAGCATCCAGCCTGGCTGTTACCATTATTATTGAATTTTTCTCCATATCTATGGGAGCTAGAGGCCAATGTATGTTTCTATCTCCCAACGGTTCGCAAAACGGTGTCGGAATATAATTCAATTTGGATTCGCCGCGTCTGATACAAGATTCAGAGTTAACTGCGGCAAACATAAACGATCTCATTTCTAACGCGCACAAAGATCTGTGTTGCTGATTTTCTATGTCGTGTGTATTAAATTTCCAGAAACAATCTTTTATAGCTTCAATCATGGTCTGATTCTGGAATTGGAAGTTAGTAATTTTTAATTTGTATAATTATGTTGAGCCAGCAATGAAAAAAAAAAATCAAAATTGACCTCTGTATAAAACATTGGAAACTGCCAATCCTGCATGAGTAAAGATGATCCCAAAGGATTCCAAGGAGAAGCTTCATTGCATCTTTTATATCCTGAATACCTATTTGGACAGGTATCTTCAGGAGAATAATGATCTGGACGTGGTTGACTGGTGTTTTTTGCAAGTAGAACTCCATTTATGTTATTTGTCTTTTGTAATCGAAAGAGTACATCTTTCATGAACATGGAAAATGTAAGGACTATGGTATAAGGACCATCAGTGGCATTTTTTTCAATCCATCTAATATCATTTTCTTCTTCAACCAAATGAATGACACCAACGCTTCCTGACCTACTTGCTATAATAGAAACCATATGATATATTTAAATAACTGGTATATGTTACCTGATAAATATATCAATATTATTTAATTTATCTTAAGTAAAATAAAAATTAACAAATGAATAATTATTAAATTAATGAGAATATAATTAATATGTTTGTATAATCTTACAGGAACATCCAAATTGATGTGTTCCATTATGTCTACGGAAACAAGCAGCAACTCCTTCAAAAGTCATATAAATCATATCCTTTATCCGTTCTGCAGCAACTAAAAACATAATTTTGCATTTTCTTAATTTTGTTTCAAATTCACTGACATTTCACTTTTCATTTATGTAAGTGTTAAAACTAATTGTTTGATAAAAAGTTTAGAATCGTTGTCTTTGTAATTTATTTCAATTTATTTTGAAAACGAAATTTCGTAATTATGCGTTACATAAAAAAACACGAAAGATAAGTACAAAGTAAAGCTTTGTTTAGCTTTATCTACATCCTTTTCAAAATAAAAATTCAACGATTTTATTGAAACTTAATTATTATCTTACCTAAATTTACGATTAGAAATATTAGAAGATATCCACAGCCTAAACATTTTGCCATTTTTTCCGTCGTGGTGGTACTTGTCAAAAGTTTGTTTTATTTTTCTTTAGATCCACCACAGCGGATCGTCTTTGTGAGGTTAGACACGATGACACAAATGCATCGCGTGAATCAGAGAATAATTGAGCGTTTCAATTTTACCTGGCCGTAGACGCTACCGCCACCATTGCACCGCAACTATATGGCGGGGAATTTTCTGAATCATCTTATGGTAAATCAGTAAATAAATGTTTGAATTAATCAAATTTAATTACAATCTAGCTCAATCCACCTTCGGAGATGAAACAAACACATGTTAGAAAAATGGAACTTTTCCATTAAATAATTGCATGTTACATAATACGTTTAGTGAATAATTAAAATAATTAAATTATTGTCTAAAAAGTACATGTCATTTGCAAAGAAACGAGAATGAAATTAGATCACCAGTGAATACGCTCCTGAATCTGTTCATCACTGTTTCAATGTATTGTCCTAAGTTATGTTGTACGCCAATGGCAGTCTGACGCAGAATTGACAGCGCGTAACACGCTTAAGTGAAAGTTTTCCTCTTTTTTTCTCTACAATTTGTTTCGTACAGTAATTATCGATAGTGTTGATATTTTATTATTTTCCTGCTCCTACCATACCTTTTTTTAATAACAAGAGCTCATCGACGAGACGTCATACGTGGTAAACAAGTTAATCGCGAAACTAATTGATAGTATTCACTTTATTGTATTACAATTTTACATTAATTATAATTTGTAATAAACGAAATGAATAATAACAATCTTACTGTGATCTTAATATAAATTAGATATACTCTTAATTTTAATACTTTTAGGTGCATAGAATTAAAAATGATGCCTACCTTGTGATCCAAGAATTTCTCAATCCTCCGAGGAACGTATTTTTGCAAATTTATACAACACAAGGTAAACAATCGTTTTCCGTACCGTCATCAATAAATAATTTCAAAAATTTATTAATTTTTAATATAATTTCGACTTCCTGGAATCAATTCAACGCGCGTAAAAACGTCAAACGGATTTGATATTTTTCCCGATCAGGGAAACAGAAAGTGGCACTCAACGACGATGACGCACATCGCGTAAAAAGATATATCTATACAATATAGAATAGCAGGTATCAATTAGGACGGCGCACGTGAGCGCGGAAGCACGTGTATCGAGTATCGATAGCGTGCAGCTACGTCACACACGGCTGAAGCACAACGGTGAGCCCTGTGCAAGTGTCAGACTGGTTTACAGAAACGAAAATACAATTCAGATATTAAGTTTTTTGTGACAAATTTTTCGAAAGTGTGAAACGATAAACGCATTTCAAATTTGCAAACTGTTTTATGGAAAGTAATGCACGTTGTTCGATACATATTCATAAAACGAATGTCAATGTTCAGTAGGTGCAGTAACTGATTTCGGCGAGCATGTTGCAAAATGATTCTTTATGAAAAGGAAAGTTTGAAGAAATAATTTTCTTTTGAATGAACGAAATGTGATTGACAATTATTGGTTAGAATGAAAACGTCATACGATAACAATGTACTAATCGTGTGGGTGTTTGTTTCAGATACGGCATCCAAACTGATGCCAGAAGCGATTCATCGCGAAGGTAAATGGGTTTCGTTTCCAAAGTACACGAATTTTTTCCGCAAAGAATTTTCGATCCATCTGGCCGTTTGTGTAGCTCGATTTGCGATCAGTTGGAAATCACCGTTCTGGAAAAACGTAAAATTCAATCTCAGCCAGGATAATAGGTAAAGATTTTTATTTTAATTCACGGTCATTGATGTGATAGTAATTGATGTTATTCCTTTGTTCCGAGATTAATCAGCAGGAAACGTTACATCAATGTTTTGGAAGCTGATCTTTGAACGACGCAGTTGCGTTAAGAAAAATGTACGATAAACCGTTTTAAAAATATCGGTATCGTGTTTAATTTTCTATTCGCCAATGGCAAAAAAATGGCAGGTCACGGTTACTAATTTTCCCACTATTATTTTAGATAGAATGCATTTGATTCGGTAAATGAGATTGATCGAGTGTTTCCCGCTCGATCTTTAATTAGTTAACAATTTCCACCAGTTTCCTTTCTCTTCGTGATACACGTGAGTCGCAAAGGGAAACACGTGAATGGTCTACTGGGAATTGGCAAGCAAGTCCGTGACCTCCTTTTATACGTTTCAAACGTTTTATTAATTATGGAAAATGTTAAATTGTTGGACATGTGTACAAAATTTCGCCTTATTCCTCTGAGAGACATTTCGTTACGTGGAGCCAATTTTGTAACTTTCCTAACATTTTAATTTGCAAATTAAATCTGAAAAATGTTTTCAGTGATCGTTACGGTTGGCTGCCTCCCGCTTCTAGAATTCAGCATTCAGAGGGTTGAACGTGTATCATCAGAGGACCAAGTATCAAGTCATTCAACCAAATGAAATGAACTCGTCCTAGTCCAAGATCTTATACAATCATTAATGATTGCCAATTGGCATAAGTAAATAGGAACACGTTGCGTCGCCGTTTTGAGCCAATTCATTTCCAGTTGCGCCATATTCTTTACACCATAACTCAGTACGGTTGGAATCCACGTGATCGTTGAACGTAGACACGTGAATAGCCTACTGAGCCTGAAGACCGTTTAGTCCATGACCAGGTTCCACGGGTAGCGATCCTTTTACCGGTACCGCTCCCCTTTCGAAGTAGCACGTTGCAACCATGCATACCTATAGGTACAGGCACGTGTATGCCCTAGTCGGCTGGTCGGCTCTGTGGCCCCAATCTTGAGTCTTGCACAACGATTACGCGCCTTTCCAATCGTCCTTTCGCTTTTTCTCTTCATCTCCCTTGCGAAGGACGTACTAAACGATCTCTACCGTAAGGCAGTGTGCTCCTTGACAGCATTGCACTCGTTTGCTCCACATATTTCATAGAGATAGTCGCGTGGAGTTAGCGAGACCGTTTGCACGTTTAATTCCCGGTGTCCTGACAGAACTTCATAGTGTTGAATGAAAAGTAGAAGTCTGCGTGAGGAATCTGTCTCGTTATGCTTTGGAGGAATCTTTCACGGTGAAGTAGTAACGTTCTGAATCGTCACAGTAAGCTTTAACATTTCTTCTGTTGCTGGTAAAACAGTATAATTCTCAGTTTTGAGAGTAAGCTTTAAATTTCCTTCTAACGATGAAATAAGAACGTTTTAATCGTGATGGTAAACTTTAAATTTGTCTCTGTCGGTAGTAGAAATAGTAACTCTTTAGTAAGCTTTAAATTTCTTCTTGTCAACAATGAAACAGAAACGTTTTCAGTCGTAACAGTAAGCTTTAAAGATGAAAGATAGTAGACATTATGAGGTACTGGTGGAATTATTCGTTTCAGATCAGTCTTGTGGTCAGTCTGCTAGATTTGAATGTGGGTGAAGTCAGATATAATATTTTAAAATTATAATCAGACTCACTGGGACTATGATAGTTTATTAATGCAATGTTTATTGGTAGATGCTGGCACTAATGAGCGCTCCAAAGCCTGCTTTCCCGGAGATTGACAATGACAAGTTTGAGACCATCATGAAAATATCAAACAAAGACACGGTCGAGCAAAAGAAGGATCGTTCCAATAACGATGCAGACCCTTCAAGAACCCTCCAGCTTTTACGAGTCAAAGGATTTCCTCGGTTACTACCTGAAGGTTTGATCTATTACTATCTATACGATAGCCGGATGTCCGTTTATATGTAAAGAAGCGTTCGGCTGAAGGGGTTGAACAATGAGTTCAATCAAATATTTTAGAGCCCTCTATCTGATATAAATTAATTGTACCACAGGTATCCAAGCGTTGGTCAGTTACTGCCGATACCTGCAGGAATTATCATTGTCCTATTCGTTTGTCAGTGACGAATTGCTGTTAGCCTTAAGTGCTGAGAAACAGGTGCAATTAGAAACGCTACGATTGGAAGCTCATCCGGAGATAAAACCGCTCCCTCGAGTCAGTGATAAAGCCTGGTTTACGTTTTCCAGTAATTTTCCAAACATAAATCTTGTACTGTAAGTGTATTTCCAACTTCAATGTTGCATTTTGTCTAGATAAATAACGTTTTGTTTTTACCATTAATCAGATTATCTTATATGACAAACGAAGATGATCAGACGCCGCTGATTGCACCGTACGTTCCTATTACACACCTGTACTTTGGAGAAGCACCATCTGAAGCAACTGTATTATGCATTGCCGATCAGTGTCCTCAATTAGTCGAACTGGTGATCGCTGCTTATGGACCTGGTCTACTCGATGATGCATTACTCTCTATAGCTGAAGGATGTCCACGTCTAAACGCCGTTGGTTTAGGCGATTGTGAAATCACGTATGTAGTACATTAATCCCTCATTAACTGTACATGGAATTAGTTAATTACCAAGAATAGACTATCTCCTTAAGAATTTGCATGGAGTTTCACTAAATCTTTTTCTTTTCTGGTCACTCTCAGTTGCTCAGGATTGTTGGAATTTGTTACACGATGTGCGAAACGTTTACAAATCCTGTACGTATGGGAAACGTCGTTGGTCGAGGATTCCGAGCTTGATGTTACGAAAGTATCAAAGAACGTATCGTTACGCCTTGGTCGTACGTGGGTACCTGAATATATACCGTTGTATTAAATAAAACAAGTAATTCGAAGCAATTTATACAAGATACAGTTGCAAATAATGGCCGGCAATAGTTCGGGTACATAGCAGAAATGTGTGTGAGTAATAAACTAGGCTTTATAGATATTTCTTTTCTATCTTTTGTATAAATCGTTTATGTGAGTGATTATTGACTATTGACTCGTAGAATGGATATCATATACACATTATAGGTTTCCAATATTCTTAGGACTGCTGTATTCTTTGAAGAACCAGAAAAATTTAAGGTGAAAAAAGATTGTACATACATAGATTACCATATTGTATTGATAACAAGGAAACCACGTAATTGCGTTTTGTTAATTTGTATTATTTATGTTGGTGTTCAAATAACTTTATGAAAAGGTCGAACTTCGATGCCGTAAAAATTAGAAAGAACGAAAAATGCCTCGTATCGTAAAAATTGCTCGTATCTGTTAATACCAAAAATATAAACTTTATTAGATTATAATGGTATCTTTTGCGTGTGATGTATATAAAATAAAATAATATTACTACTTATTTACCAACCGTCGCTCATGATAGATATGTATAATATACAATAATTGATATAGTCTATGATGTTATTGTAATACAACAGAGTATGTACATTATTTCTACATTATAACACAATAAATGATTGGATATATTTAATATTTATATCTAGTAACGTTATCGCTTAATGTTTTTCACGATGAAACTTATTGTTTTCTGTTTAATTTACGTGATTATTTTTCTTTTCTCTTTTATTAGCATCCTGCTGATGCTATTCTAATGATGCGAGGCGCTCAGTCTTGTATCCCAGCCGATAATCCAATCTTCTGTCTTAGTAAGGCCGATTAAAAATTTTATGTTCGAACAACTCACGTATTTCAGTTTCGTTTATGACAAATTATGTATATTAATACATATAAGAATCTGTACCGTTTCTTTTTTTGTAAAATTTTAATGTTATATAACATATCGAACAAATGTTTTTACACTCCTTACGAGTATCATAACATCTTCCATTCTGATTATTCATAAGGAATAGCAGTTTTAAAAAATATAATAATAATGACAATAAAAGTTAACTTATTAGATATATAACAATGGCATATACTTGTTACATTATCGATTAGAAAATGCAGTATTCGTTAGAATTCTTGAAGCAATTGATAAATGATAAGCGTACATAAGGGTCTAATTAAAAGCTTAAAGTAACAGAGCCCTTTGAACACGTTTACCGTACATATTAAAATTATACTATCACTTTAGTAATATCAGTATGAATATTTTAACAAGAAATATTGCAAAGACTTTTAGGAACACGTAGAAAAATTATTCTAATGTAAATGTATGGCTTTTCTCCTTAATTATCTATGCCGTTGCAAGCATAGAATCTAGGTTTCTTTCTTAAATTAGAAATTATTTTTAAAAAGGGCTCAAATACGTGTAAAGCATTTCTATAAACAAGAAAAAAAAAATGTAATTTTCAATTTTATTATCATTGCCCTGTTAACAATCACTCTGCTCCTGAATTGCACCGATTTTTATAAATTTACTATGTAAACACTACTGTTAAGTCTCATTCAATATGAGCATTTACATTATGAAATAATGTAGAAGACAAACGGAATTTTTTTTTTTAAATAAAATGCAAACACAAAGAATAATTACTCGTATCGTTTACAATATTAACATATCTTATACGTATTTATAATATGTATGTATGTGTACCAATTTTTTGCGGAAATAATTTAATGCTGCTAAATTTTGCATCAACCAAGGATCAGACAGTCGCGTGTTAATTGAGACTTAATTACATACATATTAGATTTTCAGATATGATCTGTATAGTGCTAGCAGATTCTACAACATAGTGGACTATTTACATTGATGATTTTCCTTAACAATAAACTTCATTAATAGTTCTAACGATTTGCAGGAAAATCGATTTAAAATATAAGTAATTATAAATCAAACTTTGCTCTATACAGATCACAGTATATCGAGGTTTAGTTCGGATTTTAAACGCGGTTCACAGCTGCATACAAACTATTCAAAATATCATTAACTTTTTAGCACCACCTTAGGCATATTCACTATCTTTTATGTATATCCACTACTTTTGGCAAAGTAATAATAACGCTATTGTTACGCAAGTTTACTATTTAACAGGCATAACAAAATAGGTCGACGATTATCCTATATCATTAAAAAGGAGCAATCAAACAAATGGACGGGTTGGTTACTTACTCTACGCGTAATTTAAGTTTGGGTACACGTAAGACTAATGCAGCGTTAAAAGACATGATGATTTTGAGCATCGCGGCTGCTGAATTTGCTCAAGGGGCCATTCCTCTAAATGTATTTAACATACAACTTTCTCGTAACTATCTTGCAATTAATTAATTAAATAATTAATTTTAAAAAACTGTAAGACTTTTTTCTCGAAGCCTTTTATATATATATATTTTTTTTTTTTACGAAAATCTATAGTAAAAAGCTTAAGCCCCAAGAACAAAATAGATAATATAATTATTATGATTGCCTCAGCGCACAATATATGTAACAATAACAAGATTTTCTTCGTGACATACTTTACTCAAAATGATAATTTCCTTTCCATAATAGATTTCTCTATTAGTTTCGCACCAGTATCTGTTACTTGTTAAGATATGGCTTCCGGTATGAACCAGTCATATCGATAAAAACATTTCAAGTACCCGGATCGATCCTGTAACATAATATTCAAACAATTAAAGATATTTCTATTACATATACATTGTTTCTATTAATCATCATAATTGATAAATACCTATACAAAACAATCAATCGGGCATATCAATGGAAACTATAGGTACCACAGGTTTTGTTAGGTCGATCTTTTTGAAATGTTTTTCATTCTTTTCTGAAACCATTGGTTCCGATGGTGGTTGATCTTGTTCACTTCTTGGCTGATAAGAAATATTACCATATTCTTGAAGCAATGGACACAATCCTAATAAAAAGTGACAAAAGTCTTTCCTAATACCAAACCACCATCTGTTTCCTCCTTTTGCATCGAAAGACATGAAAATGAGTGTTATATGAGATATTAAAAGTGGCATCGCCACTGTAGTGTAATTTAATGAAATATCTCCATCCAATTTGTTTGCTAATAATACCTAAATTCGATTAAAATGATATTAATATAAAATTTATTAATCACCTCTATGTTTCAATGAAAATTATGGCTCTTACTTGGAACACTAAAATTGGAACCACAAGAAATGTGTATGCTAAGGCTGAATTTAAAGATGTCCGCCTTTGCCTGGCATTAATCTGTGGTGTCCTTAATAAAACAGCAGCAAATACTATCGCATATAGAACTGCCACTAAGGATAAGCATAAAAGTGCCCAAAGAGGCACAAACACTACTTCCCAACTCCATGTTATAAATCCATCTAATCTTAATGCCAAAAAGATGAATTGTAATACATTGACTGCACAAAATAATTCAAGTTCAAATGATCTATCATGTTTTGCAGCCCAGATACAGACCTGGAAAGATAAAAATATTTGTATTTTTTAGATAATTAATTTATATCATTTTCTTATGAAATTCAAAATTACTTACAGCTATTGACACTATAGAGATGAAGATAAGTGGTATGAATACAAGTATCCAAAGATGTCTTTCAGATTCTAACTTATCGCATACTAATAATTCAAACATTAACAAGATCAAATGTAATGCCAAAGTAATCAACATTGCTTTATAATGTACATAAGCATCCCCTTCTAGCCTTGCATGAGGATGTCTCCACCAAACATAACTTCCAATAGTAGCACCCAAAATGACCATACTCTTCCAAAACCATATTGGAACAAAGACAGTCCAATAACTCCATTCTATGATACCATCCAAGCGAAGAGCAAACAAAATTGTGAATATCATCAAACAACAATGTACCAAAAATTTGCTAAAACATAAATTAAAAGACATTAGTACATATTTATTTTTTCTATTCGTTCAAATATTCATATTACTATTAAAATTATGCATTCAAACTTGCAGAAATCTTTGATATATATTATAACAGATATTATAGAAAATTACAATCACATTTAATACAATAGCAATTAACTTATATAACCACAGAAAAACATTTTTTTACTGTATGCAAAACCAGTAATTATACTACGGAATTCTAAAATACATCAATTATTAATAATTTACGTAAAGGTTAATAATGTTATAAAAATGATAATATATGGTAAATAAAACGACGAACGTTTGCTTAAAATAAGTGACCGACCTATTTTAAAGCATATCTTAGTTCCAAAGGGTAAACATCGATAGATCTTTAATGAAATTGTCAAAAAGCAGTTTTATAAATTAAATCACGGGCAGGTAACAAAGAAATCGCATTGAAAATTAGATGATTTAATTTTTGTATGTATAAAAATAATAATACTATTCATCACTTTCCTTTTTATTCTACACACTCTTACACACAAGACATTAACATATTGTATTAATCTGTTGTTTATTTATTCGTTCGAAGAAAAACTAAATAATCCGTTCGCAAAGTTTTACCTTGGATTGAAATCTTGAAACAATGTTTGCAGATTCATGATTATCAGAAAGGTTTTGTAGGCCAACTACTTGACGCAAATCTTCGTGATGACCACCACGGACACATACATTCCACTGAAAATCGCTTCATTTACAGCAAAATTTATCGCGGAAGAACACAAACGATGGATTCTGCATTTGTGTTCAAGGAAAAAAATAAACCCCACCGTATTACATGCGAAAATTCGAATTGCACTGAAATTAGCCAAAGACCAACAGCTGACGACATTCGATATAGAATGCAACTCAAACGTTGGCAGGGAACTTCGTACTTATGTATATAAAATGCATTTATTAATTATAATGCGTAAAATACATGATTACATATGTTTTTTAACTAATTATTTACAAAATTATCAATTACTTTACATGATCATTATAATTGATAGGTAATTCAATTAGTTTTTATTATGGTAACAAGAATGACTAGTTTAATGTTTTTAGTGTTCATACATTACTTTTAAAGTGAACATTTGACTTAAACTTAATTAAATATAGGTTGAAAACTTAATTTTTTAAAGTTATAACGCAATTATTTATTTTTCAAAACATGATTATTTAAAATATAAATATACAAATGTCAGCCAATCAACACCGATGAAAATATCGATAGTCGATAGGGTGTTCTGCCAGTTTCCGCTTCGAAGGAAGCGTGGTTCTTTCCGTGCGTAACTTTAATCATGGCGGTGGGTAAAAATAAGGGGCTTTCAAAAGGTGGTAAAAAGGGTGTTAAAAAGAAGATGTAAGTAAATTATAATATTTTTCTACTGTACTTTAAATGTTGTTTATATCAGAAATATAATTTCCTGCTTGATACCTTTTAAGATGCTTAATATCAAAGTAGATTCCATGCAGCTGACATTCGTACGTTTGCTTGTAGCACACGTTTAATATTTTGATTCTGTCAGTATACTAATTCATATAAAAAGTAACTTGAAAACTTAATCCTTTTTATTTTTTTTTACGGTAGTATATTTATATAATATTGTACTTATAATTGTTTGTTATTTACCATTCTTTTATTTAATTACATTTATATGAAAGAAACTATTGATTTCATGATAAGCAATGCATTTGATATTTTAGAAAATTAAGTAATTTAAATATGAATTTATAATCGTAAAGTATTATGATTTTTGTGAAATATGGTTTAGGGATTGCCATACATAACCTCAAAGTGTAGACTTCTAACCTAATTTTCTTTGGTTATAGTGTTGATCCTTTCACTCGTAAGGACTGGTACGATGTTAAGGCACCGTCTATGTTCACCAACCGTCATGTTGGTAAAACATTGGTCAACAGAACCCAAGGAACAAGTGAGATATTTTACCATAGCATTATTTTGTTACCATTACTTTTTGGTAATAATTCAGCTTATGGAAAGTGGTCCCCCTTGCTAATTTCTATTTTCTTATTTTACAGAGATTGCTTCTGAAGGTCTGAAATACAGAGTATTTGAAGTGTCCCTGGCTGATTTGCAAAATGATGGGGATGCAGAAAGATCTTTCCGTAAATTCAGGTTGATTGCAGAAGATGTTCAACATCGTAATGTATTGACCAACTTCCATGGCATGGATCTGACTACAGACAAATTGAGATCCATGGTCAAGAAATGGCAGACTTTGATTGAAGCTAATGTTGATGTTAAAACCACAGATGGTTATCTCCTTAGAGTTTTCTGCATTGGTTTTACTAACAAGGACCAACTGAGCACCAGGAAAACATGTTATGCCCAGCATGCACAGGTTACATGAATTGGACAAACTATCTGTATTTAGTGATTGCAATCCAAAGTTCAGAAAAGTTGTACAACAACTTTTGTGATTCATAAATTGCATAGAGTAATGGGCACTTCCTTACCACATTATTTTTTATACATAAAAAATAATGATATTCGATGTTGCGACATTTGTAATGGAATTCATCATCATGAATTATTATGCATATAGAAAGTTATACATATATTGATATGCTTTTTTGTGTAGGTTAAGAAAATCAGACAGAAAATGGTAGACACGATCACGAACGATGTCACCAAGAGCGACTTGAAGGGTGTTGTCAGTAAGCTGTTGCCAGATGCTACAGCTAAAGACATCGAAAAAGCCTCGCAAGGAATTTACCCACTCCATGATGTTTACATCCGTAAAGTACGTATAATCGAGCGCCTTATAATTAATGGAAAAGAATGTAATAATAATAGTAACGATGTTTAAATGTGAATGATAATTATATTACAGGTCAAAGTATTGAAAAAGCCACGATTTGAATTGAGTAAGTTGTTGGAACTCCATGGTGATGGTGCAGGTAGCAAAAGCGAAGAAGTAGGTGAAACAGGCTCAAAGGTTGATAGACCAGAGGGCTATGAACCACCTGTACAGGAATCCGTTTAAGGGAGTTAAGTTCTCTTTAATTATTTGATATAAATAAAAAGCCACGTTCCAGTGCGAATATCGTTCTCTATTTTATTCTCTTTACCCGATATATTTTCATTGTTGGAAAAGGATGTAGAAATAACAGAATTTGATTTTGATTATAAATATTTATTATTGAAAAATTGTCTTTTATAGTACAACATTTAATTCGTTCTAATAAGCTAACGCTTGATAAAAAAAAAGAAATCATTTATTTGGTCATATTACGGTACAAAGTTACTAGAAAATACTGTAAATTAAGTAATGAGTGATTAGCGTAACAATGTGCTGGTAGCAAATGACCAACTTCCTATTAACAATGCTCTGAAGCTTCCACTCCAAGATGCCAGTATGTAAATCAGTAGTACAAAGAATAGTATTTTTGCAGTCACGTCAACCCAGTACATACTGAAATTATAAAGTTACAGAATTAGGAATAAGAAGCGTTATTAAGAAAATAAATGACTAAACATATCTTACATTTTCAAGTGCCTTCGAGCAGCAGGCAAAGTTTCAGGCAGTTCGTTTAAAATGTAGATTCTTGCTGCTCGTATGCAAGTTTCAAAATAAGCGTCTATATCCATATCTTCTCCGTGTAGTTGATACTTTTTATACTCCACGGGATTTTGTTTATCTCGTAACTCAAATATATTTGAATTTTCAAAATCCCATTGATTGTTAGCATAATATTCGAACACCTCGAAACCTTTTTGTATTCGACGTTGCACACGACACATGCTATTTGAAATAATTTATTATTAATATTTGAAAACTTCAGGACTATCATATTCATTACATACTTACATTGGTTTATAGCCTGCAAGAAAAATAAGTGCATCTATGAGGTAGGCTGGTATCATGTGAAACAGAAACACACATATATTATGCATCAGTCTTGATTTCTTCATACTTCCACCTGGATACCAAACAACTCCATTTAAAGGTACCTTTTCTGTAATTTTTCGACCACGAGCAATAATCTCTGCCCAGGATACCTGAAACGTCCACATTGCATCAGTTATTGCTAATAAAAGAAAATATGTTAGAATTTTATAAAAATGGTTCCTCACTTTAAATTCACTGCTACTTGTAAGATTGTAAACTCTTTTTTCATGATCTTTGAGGTAGATGTAATTCCATGAACTGGTGAGAATAGCATTCACAGCGATATCAACAGGAAGATAATCCGCATAACCATTCTCATTGCAGTACATTGTTCGAATAACTCCTTTTCCAGCACCAATTAACAATCCTGTAGGACCATTGATGTTATCCGTCCATCCAGGAAGAGGTTCCTTCCATACAGGTATGACTATGCTAGGTCTACAATGAAAAAGTTCTTGGAAATTAAAATATACATATTCTAGAAATATTAATGAATCACTTGTGCATACCTTAGTATGATTGCTGGAATGTGTGGCATTGCTTCTTGAACGAGACCTTCCGACAAAGCTTTGGTAAAGGCGTACGTATTTGGAATATCCCCCAAGATCTTGTCTGTCATAGCTTCAACGACCTCGTCGTCCATCCATTCAACGCATTTGATTATTTTATGAGGATCTGCAGGCGGAGGGTATGGTCTTTCTCCTAATAGCTAAACATGATCAGGCATTTAAAATAGAATTCCATTCGGTTCTAATTGTACATCAAAAGAATGTGAATTCTACAGTCAATTCTTGTTAACAATTACTAATTACAGTAGAAACTATACTTTTTCTTCAAGATGACAGTATGCTGTACTGATGTGAGCAAATAATTTCAGGTGTTTCATCTCTTTCGCCAGATCCAACATTTGCTTGGTGCCACGTGTATTCACTAATACTGCTTTCTTTAACAACTCGTCAAATCTGAAATTTAAATCAATTTATTTATTCAATAATTCTTATTTGTTTAATTAAAAGTTTTTAATTTATTTTAGTTAATCCTGCGTTACCGTACTGTGGCGGCCGCATGATACACAATGTTGATCTTCTCGCAAAGCATCTGCCTGTCCTCCGTGGAAAGTCCAAGTCCTGGCAACGAAACATCACCATACACGACTGTTATCGCTTTGCGAAGTTCAGCCGCGCCTCTTTGCTCTTTAACTTTCTCGAAAAGCTGAAAATATTGATTCCTAACTCGTATTAGTTAAAAGGTTCGCTGTTATGTTCATCATCGGTGACTGACACTATTCAGTTCACTCAATATAAAAATAATAATGCACAAATGAAAACAGTAGAATAACTGAATAATTTACTCTTCGATTCATCCACGTTATACGTACATAATGAAATTATAATGAATTCAACGTACGAGCAAACTTGCTTCCTCGTATTTCCTAAGCTTTATAGATGCTATTTTTAAATGGCAGTAAATCAGTGTTGAAACGAATGATATACTTTCAATTCTTCTACACAACTTCATTAATTATTTAGAAACGAACGGTACTCTCAATTAAAAAAAAGAAAACAGCCAAATTTTTCATTATATAATTTTGTTAGTTCAAAGCGTCGTTTCGTCAGAAAATAAAACTGGACAGTCTCTGTTTAATGCAAGAACAAATTCTTCGGTCAACATTACATCATTCGCACGTGTGTGTTGGTCTGTTTAGAACAGGATTCAACATCCACCGGCTTGAAAGATGTGACATAACACATCGTCACAAGAACTTTCACCATGTATCAGGATTGATAATAATGATAATAACATTTGACGTTCTGCCTATGCAGGAGGCCTTGACACCGTTTCTCATTTTTATTCTTATAAAATAATCGCGGCACATAATAGTGCGCTTTCACTAAGGAATTTGCGAATTCATTTTTTAATGGTCAAAGAAACGCAAAAGCAAGATGCGATTTGTCACGTGCATTGTACTAGTAAATGAAAAAGACTGAATCACATTCTTAATGTTATTTAACTTGTATCGAAGTGCTCTGCATATTATGTATTTATCCCCGGCTTTGTTCTTTGGAATTAGTTTAGGGAGATTTCCTGTACAAAGAATCCGGGATCTCGCACATGAAACCTGTTTGCGTATGAACAAGTGGTTCTATTACTTTTTCTTCATACTTATGTAATACCTTCTGTACATTTAGTTCAAATAGTCTGTTTATAATAGTACTGAACATTATAAAAAATCGTTCATTCTTTTGTAAAAGAAAAATTCGTTTGTCCTCTTTTACATTTGCCTTCTACGCTTAATGGTTGAAAAGATTTATAAATTTAGTATAGGTGTAAAAAGCAAAGTACGTAACAGCGGCCTTCAAATAAGAAACAGAATGTTTTATGAAGCTGAAGAGCCAGTCACTCACCGGAGAATTGAAAATTTCTTCTATACGATGCTTTGGATCCTTTCCTTTTTTCGATCTGATCAATAGGTAAATTTGCTCCGTGTTTGGTAGACATCTGAGAAATTTCTCGATAACAACTTTTCCCAGAAAACCAGTGCCACCAGTTATTAAAATATTCTGATTTCTGAAGGTTTCCACTATTCTATCAGGGATCTCCTCCACTTTTGACTCGGCCATGATACCTTTATCTTATCCCCTGAAAGGTATAGAAAATTAAAAGCTGTAGGTTTCAGGTATTAAACGGTAATAAGTTTGACAGTGAATACAGTGATGCTTTTATATTGTATCCAGTCAATGAACCAATGATTCAAATTAGCCGTATCTATAAATATCAAATCGGGAACAGTACTGCGATTGAAGCGGAAATTGCAGCAGAGTTTATAAATATTTCGAAAGAACCCTTAAGAATGACACTAATCTCACGTATCGGAAACTTGTCGAATAAATATCCATACAATATCCCATGCTGCGTAATTTTCCGTTTATACATTTCAAGCGGAAAAAATAATTTGTGAACGTGTCGTTCGTTCTTTTTTTTTAGAACAGTGAAAATAAGACAGCATATAATTATTGAAATTTTGTTATTAGTCTGATATATCGCAACGTATACTTTACTTAAATCGTATCGTGGAACGTAAATTGCTTGAAGTATTTAGCAAATATTTAGACCAATAATAGTTGTAACAAATAACATTCAAACTCTTGTAGAATTGCAAATTCAAATTACAGATCTATATACCGCGGTAATAGAGGGTTCAGAATCGACCAATCAGCTATCAGTATTTTTGGATCTTTGATGTACAATCGCGATCTGCGATTGGTTGAGGAAAATTAATTTGACCAATCTTGACGCCCTATGGGTAACCCGGCCACGTGACCGGCTCTATGAGACAAAAGACGCCTAGAAGTCGAACAGTTTGAATTTGAGTATCGTGGGAGAATGTTGATGCGATGAGTGGTGTAAATTACGCGAGTGAAAAAGTTATTTGTGCCGTAATTATAGTGAAACTGGATTACTACGACACGCCTGGATGAGCATAATGGAACTGTCGCGATAATCTGTGGATGCCTTACCTGCATGGGTGCAGATGTCAGCGTGTACATACAACAACGTGGGTCATGACAGCAAGGTATGTTCTATCGTTTATACATATATGCCGTAGTTTGAAATGATAGTTTCAAAGATATTCAAGAAACGTATACAGAGTAGTATTATTATTCTATGCGAATCTTGGCAAAAGTCACGTATTTATCTTCGTTAATATAGAACGAATCAGCATACAAAATAGGTTAGCCCGCTTACCCTTCACGATATTTAAGACTATAGAATTTTTTTCGCGCCAAAGTAGTCCGCCATATTGGATTTCAAATGTATTACATTAGGTCATTATCGATAAATATACGTGACCATGACTTTTAAATCCGAGTGTACGTGTTAAGAAAAAAGAGGGATTTGTCAAGATTCAGGCATATTTAATTATTATTATTACTGCTGTCGAGCCAACCGCCGTAACCAATTTAGTGCGTCATTACGATTGTTTTCTAATTTATGCACAATCCGTTTGCGGTTTACCACTATAAACCAGACGACTATAGTATTACATTAGCCTTAACACACCCATACCAGAATTAAGTATTACTTTTTATGTTAATAAACAATCATACATTTTCTTTCAATTTACAAAAATTAGCTCATTAATGTTAACGAATTAAATACAAGATTCAGGTCACTTTTCTTTCTTTTTTAAAGCAGCACGTATAGTGAATTTTTATAAGTACAATGAAATTTACATAGAAGAAAGAACATTACTGTTATGCAAATATTTCTAGCGTGTTGCAATAGCTTTTACGGTGATGCGAAAACGTAATATCGTTGACAAAGTAACTGGAACGACAGAAATACAGGTTGACCAGTTTGAAAAGATCTTTGCATTTTTTTTAGAGTTGGAGTGAAATTTTACACATAATTGATAATCCTGTTTTAAATAACTGCAATTTTGTATAGCGTGTCGTACTGCGCACGCTCCCTTTCATTGTGACAGGGAACGTGTAAATACCTAGTAAATTATTTACGTAAAATCATAGATGAATCTCACTGATTTGTAACATAGTATCATTTAATTGTATGTTATAGCGTAGTTGTAAAACCACGCAATATAAACGTTGAATCATTCTATTACATATCGTAAAATTCTGGTTACTCTTACGTTCTCGTATTGCTTCATTTAGAAAGCTTGGTATTCGTTGCTCTAAATGATTTAAATTACACTTTGCAAAAAAAAATTATTTTCAAAATTACACACCGGTTAAGTAATTTTAATTGATAAAATAAATTTGATGTTCGATTATCTATGAGGTAGTTAAAAGTATCACTTAATTGTGCAAAGTTTACCAGTTTTCTACTTCCTGAATTTAACCCACGTTTCGCGTACATTTTACGTATTTCAACATCTCAACGAACATACAAACATCTTTAGCCTAACGATTGCTCCACGTTCAGGAAAAACTTCCGAAATGGAAACAGAATTTTCCTTTTAATACTTAAATTACGGTATGTCATGGATGACGCATAAGGTGCGTCGTGAGTTAGTTTTCGAACAGTTTCAATTTAAATGATGATCACTTCTCACAGTTTCTATTTTTTGAAAATTTTCTTAATATTTTTTTAATTGACGTTCTTGCTGAGTCTCTTGTGAAATATAACAGGAGATGTAAAATTGCTAGAATTACATCCAAAAAAATGTGTAATAATTAAAATTGAATACTTACGGAACGAGTAAAAATTCCTGGGACCTGGCGTTTTATCCTAAATGCAAGCAAGACCACAAACCGAGGTGATTGTCGAACGAAACGAAAACGAAAGCACGATCGCCAGGAAAAGAGTGATCGGTTAGAGCCGACCAACGGTGTTACTCGGATGGTGAGCCCGGTGCAGACTGAGAAAGCATAACGCTGGCCCAATATTTTCCTGGACGCCTCATCGTCGCTCGATGCAGGCCCGTATTATTCGCTTTCGTTTGCCTCGTGTCCCTCTCTACCACCATTGACCAAACTTGTTTTAACTGGAATCGCATAATTATTTACTCGTGTTTCTTTTACAACGTATTACAAGTTCGTTTCGAAGGACAATTTTTAGCACTGAACGATATAGATGAAATCTTAAGGGTGGTCTAGAACCTTGGCTCTTTGAACAGTGCCAAGCGCTTAATATTGTTAATTAGAACTTCGTTCTTTCGAATTTTGGAATTTTAGATGTTTAGAATCTTACGGGCAATTCTACGAACTTTTCGGGCAAAGGGCAGAGCCACTCCTTCTTAAATAGAATAACAAATGAATTTTTTATTATTATCTGCTTATTTTTCAAAGTAAAGAATAATCTTAGAGAGTGGGTTACGTGACGAATCGACGCTTGAGTAAAAAAAGTCCAGACAGCAGATTGCCAAAACTTACAGGCCCTTTATCTTATTACATAACCATTTATAGAACAAGGAAAGTTCTGTCCACCTCTATCTGATGAATTGCTCAATCAGTAATTAACGACGCATGCACAATATTGATTATTTATTTATTTTCCTTAGAGTCAGTATGGGCCCTTACTCATTTGTGCTGTACCCTTTCCATAAGTTCCTTATCTTTTATGTGGTGGGGTGACCAGATTACTGAAGCGTATTCTAAGCGTGATCTGACTAGGGTAGAGTACAGGATTCTCGGGGTATCACGAATCCAAGGGTTCTATTCGAGTCAGTAACAACGCGGCGATAATGCGTGGGGAAACTGACTCCAAGGTCTCAGTAATCTGAGTCAAGGTCACGTGTTTCAGTAATCTAAGTCAAGGCCGCACTATTAAGCCTATACTCGTATGACTCGGGACGTTTTATCCTGGACAGTCTCATAAAGTTACATTTTTTATAATTAAGTGCCATACCGTTCTCCATACACCAGTTCTCAAGGGCCTAGAGACAAACAGGTTATTTCCTTGAAAATCTTGATGGCTATGTTGGATCTTACTTGACAAGTCGTTTATAAATAAAATGAAGAGTAGGGGTTTTTTATGAGAGTCTTGGGGAACACCCGAGAATACGTCAATATATATATATAGTAGGCCTTTTTTTTTTTACGTGGTGGAAATTTTCAATAAGACACCTCCAGCCCCCCGGGGAGGGGCCGGAGGTAGTGTGGGATTTTTACCTACTAAAACCACCACGGTGGCCTGCACTGGGGTTAAAGGGAGGGCCCCGAGACCGCCCCTGACGCATGGTGCCCCATGCAATACGAACAACTTGATTCTGATTGCTTAGATAGCTAGCCAACCACCCCAGTATTGAGTCACAAAAGCCTGTTGCAGAGAGTTTTGACATTAAAATCGTACAATGTGGGAGATGGTATTGTTCTTACAATTATAAATACGATTTCAAATCATTTACTTACGACTTCTGAGTCGCAAATGTTTGTTATTTAATTATGTAGCATTTGATTCGATTTTTCAAAAGCATTTTCCACTGAAACGGTTAATTCGTACAGTATCATTGTATCCGATGGGAATTTCAATTTCTGGAAAGTTAATAGAACAAAAACATGTTACAATGTTGCTGAGTCAGTACGAAACTTGATTCCCTTCGATGACAGGTGTTTCGAAATGTCCTGAGAATCAGAGCGACGATGACCAGAAGAAATTTTTTTACGATTGGTGAAAATTACGTATAAACAAGTAATTAAAGTAAAATTCAGTCGGTTAATTATTAATTATATAAATAATTGCGACAGATTGATCTATATCTTAATCAAAGGGATACAGATGAATTATACACTTTACCTAGTTAATTATACTTATGCTGTTATTAAGGTGATCTATACGAAGTTACGATTCAGTTTTATAAATTTATATGGGAACTGGAATTTTAACCCTTTCGCTATCAGAAAAATGTCATATCTGCCATTTATAATTTATAATTTGGAGATTGTTTAGTGGTAAAGAATTTATAAGAATTTTGGAGTTCTGAAAATTAAAAATCTTAGAATATTAGAATTTCAGACCTTCAGGCTTTCAGAATTTCAAAACTTCAGAATTTTATAACCTTGGAATCTTAGAATGTTAGAACAGAGTGGGGAGCTGCTTAAATATTTGGGTCAGGGCATATTAAAATAATAGAAGTAGGGGAGAATATTGGCAGAGCAAGGGTTAGAGAGCGAGTCAACGTGAAAAAAGTGAGAGTGAAAACGAAAGTGGTAGGAGAAAGAATGAAGGAACACGAGTGTTTGCAAGTGAAGAAAAAAATCCGATTTCGACATTCTGTGTTACGTGTTCTTTACGTAGCAGAAACGACTCTAGCAACAGATGATTGTTCATCTATGTATTCGTTTTCGCCTTGAACCATCAGATTAGTCTCTCACGAAATTCTTCTGCTTTTCATTTCAAAAGTTTGAATGAAGATTGTAACCTTCCAATTTTAATTAACAAAGCATCAGTCATTCAAAGTGTAATTAACATTTTGTTGGATTTCGATAAAAGTTTATTTTTAGATTTCTGGATATTTTCGACACGTAATTCGTCTCGACTTTATTATGCAATATCTCAGTCTGGCCGAGTAATTTTTCCTCGTGTAATGAATTTAATCTGATCGTCGCAGTAATTAACATCACATATCTGAAGTTATCTTTTTCTTAAATTTTTCTTATTTGCTAAATATTAAACGTCTCTGGCGTTACGCTTAGTATTTTAAATTTAAATATTTTCCCACGATTTCGTGTATTTGAAAAACAGTAAAAATTACTTCGATAATTGTAATTGCATACCTTACAATCTTTAATATAACTTTCATTATGAATCTTTGCTCGTAAAGTTAGGAGAATAAAAAATTTCACGGAAGCGATTACGCGAATGTGGACAGAGAAAGAGAGGCAGGGATTTCGAAATTTTCAAATGTCAACACGTGGAGAAGATTTGTCAGTTAGATATGCAAGCTAAACAATATGTATTTTAACTAGGAGATTAATGATTACAGATTGATGTACCATCATTTCTTAGTTCATTTATTTAATTTTCAAACAAATTCGATACACGTTATTAAATCTAATAAACAATCAGCATTTTTGTGATTGTTAACCCTTTTGCTGCTAAGACCGTTAAGTG